AAGGATTCTCATTTACCCTTTCTTCAGTTCTTTGCTGCAAAATTTAGGACTATGGCAACCATAATGCGTGAACACAGTGGAAGACATTCTCTGGCAGAGAAGGGCATGCAGTTGCTTTTCTAATGATATTTGTGTCAGATTCTGTGTGAAATAAATGCAGAGTTTGCACAAAAATTAATATCCTGCCAAAACCAGAAGCGCGTTTCAAGAAATAAATTCTAGTATGTTAGTAATAGAGACAAGTCTCTTACCAGCAGCAGTTTTCTAGGCAGCACTGGACACAGGGAGTCTTTTTTTATTGCTAGTCCCAAATGTTCAGTTAGCCCCTTAGAGTATGATGGACTTTAAAATCTGCAATAAGTCTCTGTGTTATTACTGTGGACCTTCAGAGATCAAGTTACTGCAATTTTAGTGCATTCAAAGACTGATTTTAAACCCAAAAGGATTTTGAAAAACCCTGATAGATTTATTTTTGTGGAAGGTACACTTGGAGCTTTCCAAGTAGTTGCCCTTGCATTACTATATTTACCAAATAAGAGCCAATTAGATTTTGCTTGCAAGATTTTTAGGAAATTGGAAAGATTTCCCTCCTCTATAAAAATAATAGGGGGGGGGATGAATGTTAATTTGCAAGGAATATCCCCAATGTTACTTTGTGGTTTATTTTAAATAGTGTTTATTAGCCAAAGGCCATCACATTCTCGGCAACAAATCAAAGCTAAAGGAGATCAACCATCAAACAGACATACCAACAGTATGAAAAGAAACATTAAAATAGTAAACCATCTTAGGTCCAAACATACTGCACGGCAATTATCTGCATTTAAAATTTAAGAGATAAATCTATCCTAAAAATACAATAATTATTCAACCAATAATCATTGATATGTACATTAAAATATATCCAACATTCAGTAAAATTATATCCCACTGTAATATACTTAATTTGGTATACATATATTCAAGTAACCATACAGTATTGCAGGGGTGTCAAACATGTGGCCCGAGGGCTGGATTGGGGCCATCAGGGACCTGGCTGTTTTCTGCTTCCTTCTAGTTCTGCTGCTGCCACCACATCACAGCTTGCTTTACCAGTCTTTCTCAATCGCACGGGAGGGAGAGATAGGCAATCCTCTCCTATGTGATTGAGAGAGTCTGGATGAGGCTCCTCCCCCTCCTCCTCTCCGGGGAAGGGAGGGAACAGCCAGAGCTTGCTTCCTAGCCAGGCTGCAGGAGACAAAAGGAAGACTTTCTTTCCTTCCATTGGCTGAGACTCCTCTTTGAAGGGAGGGAGGGAAGGAACAAGAAAGAGCTTGCTTTGCTGGACTGCCTTAATAACATGGCAGAAATACCAAGCACCTTTAAGACCAACAAAGTTTTGTTCAAGGTATGAGCTTTTGTGTGCCTTGCTACAGTGTATGTGTGTGTTTTGTTGGGCTCTTTATGCCAGGGCCCTCCTGGGTGCAACTGGGTTCCCTCTCCCATTTCACTGTATTCATGCCCTCATGATTCAGTCTTTCTCAGTAAGAAAGCAATGTGAACTATTTTAGAGGAGGAATAACAACAAGCCAGTGGGGTGGGTTAGGCTGAGAGTGTGTGTCCAAACCAAGTTTACCCTGCACATTTCCTTTGTAGGAAGCTGTAGTTATTTCTCTAGTGTGCTAGTGTTTTAAGCATGTTTTATTTAAAGTTTAAAAAAATCTTTAATTGTGTTTGTCTGTGTCCTTTATAAAGTCTATATCTGTACTACCTGGCATTACTGTTTATGACACACATGGCCTGGCCCAACAAGGTCTCATTTATGTCAGATTCGGCCCTGTATTATTGGATTGTATCAATACTTATCTATGACTGTATCTAACCAAGTTTTCCGCCTTTTGATGACCATCCAGCCATATTTGACAACTTTAAAAGCAATTTCCCTATTCCTATCAGCTAACATTATTACAAGGTAATCCCATCTATCTTTCCCAGGCAGGCTAGCAATTATGGGTTTAATATATATTTCCCTAGTATGTTCATATATTTTACAATCAAAGAAAACATGCACTAACAACTCAACACTCCCAACTCCACATGGGCATAAACATTTTTCATAAGGTATCTTCTTATATTTGCCTTCCAGGACAGCAGAAGGTAAAGTATCATACCGCAATAGAGTAAAAACTCTCCTATAATCAGGATTCTCTAAGCTGTTTATATAAGACATCAGTGAAACTTTATTCATGATACATATCTCCATTAAAGAGTTTTTAACTCTATTCAAGTCATGTTGCCTTTCCATATACTCTTTGTTTAACTAAGACCTTGGCCCGTGTCATATTCATGGACAATAGATACTGTTGAGAAAAACCATAATAACCTAATTTACTCCTCAGCAGTCTCAGCGGGTGGGGGGGATGTTACTTTGTAACTGTCATGAGCTTAATAAAAAACTGAAGGGGGGGGATTACTCCTGCACTCCGTAAGGCTTACAGCAGAGGTGTTCAACTCATTTGCTATGAGGGCCAGATCTGACATAAATGTCACTTTGTTGGGCCAGGCCATGTGGGTCATAACATGTAACACAAGGACCTTGAATCTGTATAGACCAGGCAAGCCCGATCTTGTCAGATCTCAGAAGCTAAGCAGGGTCGACTCTGGCAATTACTTTGATGGGAGACCTCCTTGAAATACCAGAGGCAGGAGGCGGGGGCAGGCTTTATTCAGTCACCTCTCTGAATATCTTCTAGGCCCCCAATAGGGTTTAGTCCCCAGAGGTCACCATGACTTCCAGGTGTGCACACACTCAGAAGAAGAAGAAGAAGAAGAGTTTGGATTTATACCCCGCCCTTCACTACCTAAAGGTGTCTCAGAGCGGCTTACAAACTCCTTTCCCTTCCCCTCTCAACAACAGACACCCTGTGAAGTAGGCGAGGCTGAGAGAGCTCTGACAGAAACTGCTCTTTTTCAAGAACAGCTCTTATCAGAACTACGGCTTGCCCAAGGTCATCCAGGCAGGTGCAAGTGGAGGAGTGGGGAATCAAACCCGGTTCTCCCAGATTAGAGTCCATGCACTTAACCACTACACCAAACTGGCTACACTCACACAAACAGAAATAGATTTTTTTTTTGTAAAGGTGATTTCAGATGCTGAATGGCAATAGCAGGTGAATGACAATAGCAGGTTTGATTGTATTAGGTGTGATATGCAGAGGGATAGTAGGTGTGGAGATACCAGCACTGGTCATGATGAGACAGGAGACCTAGGTTTCAATTCCATCTAGAAGGATTGCGTCTAGGAGGATGCAAAGAATAAATGGACATAAGGCTGACATTAGAAGCCACAACATTCAGTTGCTATCGCTGACCTAAGAGTAGCAGTCCTCTTACAAAGGAATTTCAAAGGGATATTAGAAAGAGAGACTGCTGAATTGCAATTGATAATGAAGCTCAAGACCATGCATCCTCCAGGACTGAATTGAGACCTAGTTTTCCTGTCTCATTACAAATGTGTGCTATTATCATTTGGCATCTGAAATCACTCCACTCTCCAAGATATAAGGACCAATCCAAGTGTTCTAATTCCTAATAAGAACATAAGAACATAAGAGACACCAATGTTGCTGGATCAGGCCAAAGGCCCATCCAGTCCAACGCTCTGTATCACACAGTGGCCAGAAATACCAGTGCCATCAGGAGGTCCACCAGTGGGGCCATCAGAGTCATTTTGAAAGAAAATAAAATCCATCTAGGAACAGAGAAATCCAATCTTTTTTTTTTAACTTTTCAGAATAAGCCAAAATAATTTCCTCAATGTAAATTGTGCTTGTCAGAAGAATCCATCCATCCATCCATCCACCCTCCCTCCCTCCCTCCCTCTGAAGAAGTGTGCTTACACACAAAAGCTTACATCTGGAATAAAATGTTGTTGGTCTTAAAGCTGCCATGGGACTCCAACTTTGTTCTCATTCTCTCTCTCTTTCTCTCCCCCCCCTTCCATCCCCTAAAGAGGAGGAATCCCAGAGAAAGAAGCAGAAGCTCTGTGTGTGTGTGTGAGAGAGAGAGAGAGAAAGAGAGAGAGAGAGGCTTGTCTTTGTATCTCTCCTGCATGAAGCAGGAAGCAGCCACTGAGGGAGCTGCGGGGGGGGGAAGGGAGGCAAGAGGCAAGAAACAGGAAGCAAAGAGCCACCGAGGGAGCTGGGAAAAAAGCAAGCTATGGTGTAGCTGCAGTAGCAGCCCTGGAAAAGGAAGCAGGAGAAGGAAGTTGCTCATGGGCTGGATTTGAGCTCATGGGCTGTATGTTTGACGCCCCTGGTTTACTGCTCAAGATAATTGAGCTATAAAGTTTATGTGAATAATGGGCAGAATTACATCCATCTGCTACCTCTCATTCTTTCTATTCCCCAGTTTATGGTACTTTTTCAAGACTTGATGGATTCTTGTATCTAAGGAGGCTTTACACTGGATTTAAAATATAAATTGAATTGATAAAAATCACGGATCATGCCACTGCCATGGCAGGTATTGATCTGAGACACTGAGTAGTTTGAGACAGACTAGTCCAAAACATACTTGGTGGTTTAACCCAATTTTATTGATGGAAGACAATGGCAAGTAGAATCTTAAAATAACAATGGAAAGGTACTTTCAAGAAAATTTGGGTTTCTATATCACCCACTCTTCGTTGGAAAGCAATGAAAGCAGTGGTGAGGGAGTCCTGTATTCAGAATTTGTCAATACTAAAAAACAATGAAGGAAACAAATGAATCATATGGAGCTGAAAGTTGTAGGTTAACAGAAACATATAAAAGACCGGGTTCCTTTTAGATAAAACAATATTAGAGTGAAAAATACAGGAGTTAAATTTATTAGATATTAGTAGAACAACATTCACATTATGGTATGCTAAACAAAGGTATGAATTTAAAGGAAGTGTTTGCTAAAATCTGTTAGCAAACAAAATCAAGATCGCCAAGCAAAGGAAATTGATCATGGCTGTTAAAAATTCAATGCGGTAAATGGTTAATAAACCAAAAGATATTTTGGATTCCTTTGAGGAGTTTTATAATAATCTCTATAGAGGAAATCAGATTCAATTTTCAGTGATTAATGAATATTGTCTCTTGGCAGGTATTCTCCTGCTGGACCCTAGTTTTAGGGATTCTTTAAATATGAGTATAACCTTAGAACAGATTAATGTGGCAATTAACTCATTAGAAACAGGCTCTTCACCTGATTTAGATGGGTTCACATCAGAGTTTTACAAGCATTATAAAGCTATTTTGGCCCTCCATCTTCTTCTTCTATTTAATGAGATCGTGGGGGGATCCCCATTGCCTCTTTTTTGGTTGGAAGCTAAATTAATTTTAATACCTAAATCAAAAAGATCCCACATCTAGGGAATCATATCACCTGATTTCATTGATGAATACAGACTATAATTGTTTACTAAGAGATTAGCTTTTAGATTGAGACCTTGTATTCCAACATTAGTAAATCCAAATTAATATGGATTTATTCCTAAATGTTTCATTGCAGACTGACTCAAACTATATAAAAAGACACAGTTAGGAAGGTTAAAAAGAACTGGGAAATAGAACTGAAGACTAAATTTAATGATAAGGAGCAAATATTTCAACGCTTTCCTTTCAAATCAATCTCAAGAGGTTTACAAGAACATGCATTAAAGGTCTCTATTAGGTAGTATTTCATTCCAGTTAGGTTAGCCCACTTAATGAAAATAGACAGTAAAATTGTTGGAGAGTTTACATTGAACTAGAGATGTTTATTCATATGTGGTGGTCTTGTCCAGTTATAGCACATTTTTGGAATCAATATTTGCAGAGATTGCAAATTTCTTGTCAGGTTCAGGTTCCATCAGAGGATTACATTGCCATCTTTTTGTGGACAGAATTCTCTAAAATCTGTGCAAGTACAGGGAATTAACAGGTGACACCTTTCTTAGGATTGAGAGAAAATTATGAACTAGCTTCCCTTGTTGGTTTATAATTGATATAAAATTCAGAATATAAGAACATAAAGAAAAGCCCTGCTGGATCAGACCTGAGGTCCATCCAGTCCAACATCCTGCTTCACACAGTGGGCTATCAGTTACCCTGAAGGGCCAACAAACAGGGCACAGAGAAGCCAAGGCCTTCCCCTGACATGCCTGCTAGAACTGTTTTTCAGAGGCTTACTGCGCTTAATAAAGTTGTAACCTTACATGGTGTACTGTAGTGCCTTTGTATGTCACATGACAGAGATCATGGTTATTATGACAGAAATGGTAAAAAATGTTAACCTGTGTTGTTTTTGCAACAGTGATGGCCCAGCATCGTATGCTGGCCTACAGATAAAATGGTGCAGATTGAAATTTAGGACTGTTATCAAAGGAAGGAAGTGAAAGTGGCTTATGACTAGTGTGGGAGGCAAGATAAACAATTCTGAACGGTAGAGCATATTGTGTGAAGGTCTTATGATGTTTTGGTAAGTTGGGTTGTGTCTTGGTAATGTTGCAGATAATCGGCTTACTTAATTAAAATATTTATACCCTGCCTTTCTCTTGTGGCTCAAAGTGGTTTATGATCCCAATATTAAAAACATATAAAACAGTAAAATCTCACTCCTCCCTCTCCCCAAGAAAATCCCTGCAATTTAAATCTAGCTTAGCCCTCACAAATAAATATGGAAGAGCATGGGCAACAAAATGGAACCCTGAAACACTGCCCAAGAGAGATCCCAACTGGTTGATTCTGTTCCTCTGACAGAATTTATTTGTGTTCAATCACACAGAAAAGATTGAAAACACCAAAGAGCTATTCCTCTGATCCCAACTGGGTATTCCAACTGATGAAGGAGGAAGCAGTGCTCGAATGTAACAAAGGCTGCTGATAGATCAACAGGGATGACTACATACAGTCGAAGTTCAAACAAAGATTGTCCACCAGTGCAACCAAAGCTGTCTTGGTTCTGATTTCAGGCCTGAAACAAGACTGGAATGGGTGAAGGATCAATGTGTCATCCAGGAACCACGGGAGCTGTTCTGCCACCACGCACTCTATCACTCCCCCCTTCAAAATAGCAAATAGAAGATGAGCCACATATAATTCCTTGCACAACTTCTGGATGCAAAAAAAATATGAACAGATCTCTTTTATTTTTATATAGTTTGAGTCAGTCTTATTTAGAAGGAAAAAAAAAGCTTGGAAAACAGCTTTCCAAGAAAGAAGCAACAGAAGGGTAGCTAGGAAAGAATATGACAATTTGGTTTGCTTTAATAGCCTGTGGTTTGACCTACTCTTTTTTAACAGAGCCAGTCTGTTTTAAAACTGCTGTGTAGACACTCAGTTGCACCAACAAGGGCTGCACAGAGAATTGTCTCCATTGGAAGCAGCCATAGTTCAAATCAGCTTCCTATTCAAATAATTTAACTTCTTGACTTCAAGCAGTTATTTCCCCCCAGCCTTTCCTAACAAATTAAGCCACTTTTCTTTTTCTCATAAATGCTCACATGCCTGGGCTTTTAAAATCTTAATTCTGTAAAGGATCTTGGCATCTTACCAACTGTTGTCTCATACCTTTGGTGTGGGTGATCTAAACCAGCCAGTAGCAATGACAGTTCCAGGAATAAGCTGCCACTATTTTATAGCCAAGCCAGTAGAAATTTTGCTTCACCATTGTAAAAGAAATGAACTCGGATAAGACAACAGCACTCCTTTTTATTTGCTTGTAAATTACTGTCTTGTAATTCTTGTTTCTTTCTGTCAGAATGGATTTGATTTTTTTTCCAGCTTGTATAAATTGATGCTACCTCCTAAAAATGTGCAATAGTTTACAGCCCTTAATGCCGGGGTGTTAAACATACAGGCCATGGGCTGGAACCCGGGTCTGTTATCCAGCCCTTGGGCAAGGAAGAGGAGGGTGGTGGTGGTGTGGCAGTGGCAAGAGCAGTGAAAAGACCTGTGTCAGGTCGGCTTGACAGAGGGCCCATTTCCCCTCTCAGTTGGGCCAGGCTGTGCATGTGCAGCCACCCCTCCCCCTCCTCCTCCTGTCAGGTGTGGGGGGTTTCCACCTCCCCATCACCGTGCGTGCACGCTGAGCCTCCCCCTTCACTTCAGCAACAGATGCTGCATCTGCCACTGTCGCTGCCACCTTCTCCTCCTCTGCTCATCCCTCTCTCTGCCACAGTGCTGGAGAAGTGGCCCTTTGGGAGGAGGTAGGATGGAAGGAAGAAGAAGGGAGGGAGAAAGTCATGTGTGAAGGTGGTAGTGGGGAGCTGCTGATGGAAACAGGCATTAGGGAAAGTGTAGGAATGGGAATGCCAGATTGTATCTGGGGGGAGGGGCATAAAGGACTTGAGGGAGGGGCACGGAAGGGAAAGGTTGAAGTGCGTGCATTGGGGTGCATGGTGGGAACTGCACTTGGAAAGCCATGGGAAAGGAGGAGAAGTATAGCTGTTGGGGTGAGGGAAGGTGCTTAGTGTTTGTGTATAGGGGTGGTGACATGCAAGAGCAGGGTTGTAGTTGGAGGCTAAGATAAAACAGGAGTCTTGAGCCACCTTAAAGACTTCATAAGGTTTTGTTGCATCATTTTTATTTTCAAGGCGTCTCTACCTTGCTTTTCTCCCCAAATGGGGACCCAAAACAATTTACAAGTATTGTTCTTCTGGGGTACATTAGGCTTGAGAGAGTGACTGGCCCAAAGTCAACCAGCACATTCCATGGCAGAGTGCGGCTTATGAACCTGGGTCTTCCAGTTGTTAGTCTCCATGCCTGAACCTTAGCACCATATGTGTCTTTGTGGAAGGTCAGATCTCTAAGTGGGACTGAAGTTCAAGGAAAGGAGTGGTCAGTGTGAGCAGACTTGAGCTTTGGAAGAGAGTGGGTTGGTGTGGGTGAATCGCACAGATGGGGTGGGAGAAAAGGCTGATTTAGGAGTTCTGGTCATTGACAGGTGGCTGGTGAATCTGTGGAGGGTTCATGATTTTTGTGGTGGATTGAGCAAGTGTTGAGGGTGGTGGCTCCAGTCCCCTGGGGAGTTTATATTTCATGTCTGTATTTTGGGGTGGACCGCTCTAAGTGGGGAAGAAACCCTGCTTCACACACAAAAATGCTTCCAGGTTTGCAGAGAAAAAAGTTGCTGATCTAGCATAGTGGGGAAGTGTATTTTCAGAGAGACAAGGGCTGATTTTGCACTAGAGCTGCCTCGATGTTGCACCGCCGTTTGCCCCGATACTATTGGTCAATTTTACACCCGAAGCCACGGGGCTGCCTTTGACCCACAGCTTTGCCCAATTTCCTCCGCAGTTTCGTGATCCTCAAAAAACAGGATCACGAAACTGCGGGGGAAATCAGGCGAAGCCGCGAGTCAAAATGCAGCCCCGCAGCTTCGGGTGTGAAATCGACCAATAGTATTGGGGCAAACGGCGGCGCAACATCGAGGCAGTTCTAGTGCAAAATCAGCCAAGAGGATGCCTGGGATTACTTATGCTGGGGAGGGATGGGGGGGGTGGACAGGAAAATTTTCTCTAAGGTAGGAGGCATACTCAAGGTGGATTACCTGTAGTGAGTCAGTACAGTTGACAAAATGGGACATTCACACTGCTCCCCACCTACCAATGAAAGGATGCCACAAATCGCAGATAGGTGGGGGAGTAGTGTGATGCTGTACTGAAGGATAACCTTTCTCAAATTGGCATTAGCAAATTTTACCAGTTTTGGGTCTAAATTACTCTCGATTTAAGGCTTTTGCTTCTAAAATTCTGTCTGTGTTTAAGACAACGTACATCTGTGAACAGTTCTTTTCTGTAATAAATGCCAATAAATCAAAAGTGTGTTCTCAGCTTACAGATATGCACACCTATACAGCCTCCCCAAGGTTGCTACAGCACAGATGTTCACTCCAGATTTTGATGCAAGAATTCAGAGCAAGGGGTGTCAGTTGCCAAAGACTGTTAAATAAAGGCAATACTGAGGAGTGTTAATGTTTTGAGCATGTTTGTATTTTGAGTAAGAAATAATATCGTTAATTGGGTTTGCCAGTGTCCTTTATAAAGTTTATATCTCTGGTACCTGGCATTACATTTTATGGCACACATGACCTGGCCCGACAAAGTGTATGTTTATGTCAGATCCGGCCCACATAACAAATGAGTTCATCAGCTCTGCAAATGTGTACATACAGTTAGAGTCTGTCAGCACGATGGACCATAAAATTGCATACACCCCCCCATGATAACCCTGACCTCTCTGCTGCTTCTGTTAATGTCATTGGCTATTGTTGTCTGATGTCACAGAGGGTATTTGTTAGTCTTGTGAGTCAGCTACTTGGCCTTAGGCTTGCTATAGGATACTCAGTTGTCAATCCCCTCCCTCCAGCTGTTAGTTGCTGCTTTGCTCCACTCCAAGGCATTTTTGCAGGCCTTAGGTACTTAGGAATAATGGAAAAAAAGATTTTATTCTGAATTCCAGAATTCAAGGACTGTTTTTGGCTACGTGAATGGGCACAGAAATGCATTTACTTCATTGGCTTTCAGAGGGTGCGGTCAGACGGCCTGCCAGGAGTGGTTTAAACTGCTCCAGTTCCAAGTGGACAAACGGCCTGCCAGGAGTGGTTTAAACTGCACCAGTTCCAAGTGGACTAATTTGATCCGGGGCAAGCGCGGTCACACTCACCCACCTCACCATCCAACACATCGCCCCCGGGCGTCCACACTAGGTGCGCAGCAGTGCGCATCGGCGGGTTTTTAATTATTATTTTACATTTTACACATGCGCATAGGCAGCCATCCACAAAACTGAGATCTTCGTGCAAGCACAGAACACCTTGTCTTGAAAAGCATGCCCTGAAGGAACACTGCCCTTTAAACTCTTACAGCGGAAAAGGCCTCTGCGAGGTCCCGGACTTGTCCGAAGCCTAAAACTAATCACTTTTTTTTGGGGGGGGGGTTATTAATGCTGGGGCAAAGCTTCGCCCAAGCACATATCGCTGAGGCTAAAAAAAAAATGGCGGGGGGAAAAGAGAAGGCGTTCCCAGCGGAAGTGGCTGTACACTGGTGGAGAGCGATCACATGGGGAAAATGCAGCTGGAACCGGAGCCCTCAGGAAAACACCACTTGGGGACCTAGTAGCAAACTACACCAGATTAAAGAGTGTTCGGGACGGTTGGTGATGGCTCGGGACGGGAGGCAGATGTTGCCTGTGTGATTGCGCGTAAGTACTCCGTTTCCAGCTGGCATCTATACCGGCTCAAATGGCCCGTCTGAACGTGCCCAGACAGTGGTTTGTGAATGAAGGTTGTCTGAACCCGTCTCCTAACCTTTTGCTAGAAGGAAAGAAAGATAAAATGTTGGTGATTGTAAAGTAAGGCTCATATGCAAAAATAATTTCACTTAATTTTTTGTATTTTTCAGAAATAAATGACAATGACAGCAAGCCAAGCAGCAGCAACCAAAGTCTAAATGGCACCACAAGATGGGCTACATCACTAGAAAATCTACTGGAAGATCCAGAAGGCATCAAGAGATTTAGGGTTTCTATCTTAAATATTATTGTCCCCATAAAAGTTAAATAATATTTCCAAACAGTGCATTGCCTGTATGAATTATTGAATGGTATTGTTTTGTAATGTTATAAGATAGTAAGACTACTCAAATAATTTATTCTGTGAATACGTAGGGTAAATTCAGTTTGCAATAGCATTATCTCTTTCTTATACTGTTGTATGTCAAAGTCACAGCAGTTTCATTGTCAGAGTTGCTAGCCATCCAAAATTGTTCAGGCACACACATTAAAGGACTGTGCTGTTACAGTGCAATTGTAAACAGAATTGTAGCCTTGGACCTAAGCCCTTTGACTTCAATGGACATAGAAGGGTGTGTAACTGCTTAGGTTTGCACTGTGAGAGTTGCACAAATATCATGGACACATACAGTGAGCATATCTGTGGGTGTGTTTGTATGGAAAAGCTTAACATATACTTTTAAACTCTGTTTAATTTTATGTTAAAGGCTATTAAGGTACAGGCATACCAGCTGGGTTGTGAGTTTTTTCAGAGAATATGTATATTGTGTTTGTTGCTGATGTCTGAGGACCTTACCTTGCAATCTTCTTTCTTTTCATTAGCATTAGTGATTATATTAGCATTAATAATTGCATTAGTGATTAGTTAAGGTGTCTTACTAGAGACATCTGGGAACTATCAGATATTACGGTCCCTTGCTGCAAGGACTGGCAGCCAGTGTTCAGCTTAAATGTAAGAGTAGCTTTCAAAGAAATGCAGAATTCAAATAAGAATTCTTCAGGCTTGTAGTCCTTTGAATAACATGAACTGCTCAAAGGGACATGTGTAATGCTTTTAAAATTCTCAGAAGCCGTGTAAACTTTTTTTTGAAAGCTGTACATCTCAAAAGTAAAATAAAAGCTTATTTATTCTTTATACATAGTTAAATATTAATGTTGCATTTTTAACTATCCCTCCTTACAGGAAGGTTGTTGTGTTGTTGTTTTTTTAAACTTTTTCTAGATAGTAAAGAATTGGGTTTTTTTGGTTCAGTTTAATTTACTGGAAAGTACAGTTATATTTTAAAATACTTCTTTGTAGCATTTTTGACAATAGGAAACACTGGCATGACTGTAGACTGGACTATCGGGTGTTTTGCAAAGTTAATAAAAGTTAGTCTGATAATATTTTTAGATTGTATTTAAATCTATTTAATTGCCCCCCCCCCCAAGTATAGTTGAGGAAGAATTTCATCTTTGGGTTCCTTGAATTACTTGTATCTGTTAATTTGCTAAGGCTCATGGTCTATAAAAATCAGAGATTTGTTAAATTATTTTCATTGTTACATAATCCCAACACATATATCCTGTTGCTTCAACTACTATGAAAAAAATGACATTTTCTTTTTGTCTCAGAGAGCTTTCATTCAGAAAGAGAGTGATAAAGGATGATTTGATTATGATGTCATTATCTAATGGTTCACTTTTTCCTTCAGGAGTTTTTAAAAAAAGAATTTAGTGAAGAAAATGTTTTGTTCTGGCTAGCATGTGAAGAGTTTAAGAAGACACAAGATAAAAAACAGGTATTGTCTTCAAAACCAACTTGTCACCAAAGATTCCCTTATATACGCATAAGTATGTACGTTTCCAACATAGCTGTCAGCTGTACTTCAAAAACATGTGAATATACTGCAGAAGTGCATTGAAAACAGCACAGCTTCTTGCAATTATAGGACAAGAATCACATAAAGGTGGTTTAATGAAGCCACACTCATTCAGATGATTGCAGATGAGGATGATAAAGGTGTTTTTATGTAAGTTTCTTTGACCCTCCTTATTTAATAATGTCTATTTGATTGCTTTTTATTGTGTATGGAAAAACATTTATTCTTATGTGAATTTGCAGTTTTATCCTCTTCTCTGCTTAGACCATTGGAGTCTGGCTTAAGTGCATTTATTAGCAGTTTGATCTGTTACAGTTGCTAATGCTGATGTCCCTGCCATAAAAAATGTTTCATCTGCTAATTATTTTTGATCAAAGGCACAGCAGCCTTTGCTGCATAATGGCAGAGGTTGGATAAAAAGTTGGCCAATCTAAGGAGGGAAAAGAAGCCATCTTCCTGGGGAAAGACATGCCTTCTATATAAAACCTTCTGTAATTACATTCCACTCTGCACTTAGTATTGCAATTGACATTATAGCTTCAGGAAAATAACATTTTTCCAACAACAAAGTATTGATGTCTGAATCTGGAAAATTTCATATCTCTATCTTTGAAGTGTGACCTTGAAAGACATCTGGATGCTTTTCCACAAATGAGTAACAACTGTGCGCTTGTTGCATTACTAACTGGTTGCCTGGAAACATTGAATGACATATGGCTGCAGTGTCGCAAGAAGGACAGTCTTTTAGCCAATGTATCATACATTTCTGTATTTTAAAAAAGTATGTGTTATCACCAGGTGCAATGAAAAGGGATGTTTTTCTAGCCTGGACCCAACTTCTGTTCACAAGACTGTCCAAGAATTATGACTTTGGAGCATGTCCAGTACCTTAATTAGGCTGTTGTATCAGTGGGAGCCAAGAATGAACAGGTTGAGGGTTGGTTAACTAGGGCAGAGTATGAAGTAGTCACAGTATGAAGAGTGTGAAGACAACATGAAAGCAGCAATCTGGCACCCATAAGGCTGAAGATCAGGTGCTGACTCAGGAAATGTCAGAAGGAGACATGTAAGCTAATCAGGCTGTAATTTGACTATGATTACTCTGTTCCAGTGAAGCTTCAGCCTCTTCCATAGAATTCCACATTATCCCTACCATTGAACAGTTGTGGCCTGCACCAATCCCAGTAGTATACCAAGTAAAAATCTGGCTCATCACTTCATACCTTACATTTTCCCCAGTACCTTAATCAGGCACCTGTCCTTAAAATAGCCTACCATTTTGAGCAGTTTTGTACCTTTATACTGAATTAGTGGCCAAATTCAGTAGAATCGCCTGAATTCCCAACTGTGAGGAAATGTAAAGTACTCACATACCCCTTTATTATCTGCTGCAGTTGCAAAAGAGCATAGATCCCAGAGCTTGGTCTCTAGTACTAGGGGACATTTTGCGCCATTGATCCAGTGGTACAGCCTGGACCTTCTGGATAGAGATAGCACTAGCATCTTACACAAGTTGGGCTACTTGCATGTCAGTTTCAGGTGTTGGATTTATGGGACTGTAAATGGATACTGAGTACTAGATGGCCATAACAGAAGAAGAGGGGAGGGTAATTCTAGTAACAAGCAATTACATATGACTTTGAAGTGCAGTGGGTAGTGGGCTGGGTTCTGGAGTTTCCGAGACTGATAGTTCTTGGGGACTTCAATGTCCATGCCAACGCTGTGGACTCCATGCAAGCTGCAGACCTGGGGTCATCCATGGTGGCACTAGGACTCTCCCAGATTGTATCAGGTCCCATACATCAGGCAGGCCACACACTAGATTTGATTTTTGGCATGGGGATAAATAGGGATCTGGTAGATAAGGATAGATTGCCATGGTCAGAACACTTTGCCCTAAAGGCCCAGACGGATATCCCACCCACTTCCTGTCTAGGTGATGAGTGGATTTATGCTCACCCATGGAGACTTATGGATCCAATAGGATTCTGGAATGCTCTGTGGGATCCAATGCCTTCCAGCGACTCAGTAGATGTGCTGATAGAGGATTGGAATTCCCATTTCTCTGAAGCCATCGATGATGTTGCCCCCCCCCCCATGCCCTCTCCGCTCCTGTGCTAAACTGTCCCCGGGTATACAATGAGGGGGATGAAATGGGAACTGAGATGGCTAGAGCGACTGTGGCGGTGAACTCACAATGAAGAGGCAAGAACATCGTATAGGACATTTATGAAAGCCTATGAGATGGTGGTGAAGTCCATGAAGAAGGAGTTTTTTGCAGCCACCATTGCGTCTGCAAGCTCATGCTCAGTGCAGTTGTTTAGGGTAATCGGATCATTAACTTCCCTCTTTAAGAAATTGACTCTTAGCTCTGAAATCTTTGTGAGTCCCCCCCCCCATATTTATTGTTAGCACTATGGTAGCATAGACACAAGCACTGTTAGGAATGACTACATCATAGAAAGCTGAGAGATATATAGGATATTCGAAAGCACGCCCCCCCCCACACCTATGGGCCAATCGGCCTGACTCCCGCTCGTGGGAAAGAGGACCAAGGCAGTTAGAGCCGAGGCTGGGAAACGAAACCAATCTCACAGGTAATTGATGGGAAGACACTACACAGGCTGGTTACATGGTCAGTGATAACGAGGGGGAGAAGCGAAGAGAAAGGAATGCAGCACACAGGTCATGAAAGCGAACCCGGGCCCATAAAATATATGACAGCATAGCTGACACTTAAGGAGTCTCAAAGCAGCTTACAATCACATCCCCTTCCTTTCCCCACAACAGGCACCTTGTGAGGTAGGTGGGGCTGAGAGAGTTCTGAGAGAACTGTGGCTGGCCCAAGGTCACCCCGCAAGCTTCATGTTAGGGCTGCCAAGTCTCGTTGAATCGCGGCGGGGGATCATCATTCTTTACAGGAGCTCTGCCTACGGGGGTAGGGCGGGATATAAGTAATTAATAAAATAAATAAAAATAAACAGGCGTTGCATTGCCGTCGCCAGGATGTGACGCTATGCGTCGCTCTGGCAACGGGACTCCAAACAGCCCCGTTGCCAGAGCGACGCGTAGCGTCACATCCTGGCAACGGCAGTGCAACGCCTGTTGCCGTCCCCCGTGGCAGAGCTCCTGTAAAGAATGACGATCCCCCGCCACAATTCAACGAGACTTGGCAGCCCTACTTCATGTGGAGGAGAATCTGATTAAGTCTGTCGCTGTTAATCACCACTCCATGCTGGCTGAGGAGACATTGTACTCCCCCTCAGTTCTTTATGCTGGCAGTTGTGACGGATTGCCCTTTTTAAAATCTTAGAAGTGCTGTACAAACAGTTAAAGGACTGTGAAGGGTAAATTCTTCAGAGAAACAGAGAGCCTTGAATGACAGGCTGCTCCAAGCAATCTGCTTGGTTAGCATCAGCTGAGCAGAGAAAGGCTTGAGAGCTGCATGCTGAGGAGAGAGTCAGTCAGATTTCTGCCTTGACTGAACTGAGTCTGGTTTTAGTCTTAGCTGAATGCAGTTTTACACAGATGGAGTTCTGGGGAAACTTGGCAAGAAAGTTTGGGAAGTTAGGTGAAGAGTGCCATTTAAGTTGAGTGCCATTTAAGTTGTATAAGTTAAAGGGGGCTCCCATTCCTTCCCTAAGGTTCCTGGGCTGAGCAAACAGCCAAAATATTATATTGTGATGGTGGGACAGCCAGAATTCTTCAGGAAAGAAGAAAACAGATAACTAGGGTGGCTCAGTCACAAAAGGGAAAGAAAAACAGAGGAAAAATCTTGCCTCTGAGGGAGCAAAGTGGATGGGGGCGCCATAGCAGTATTTATAGTTTTGTTTGATTAACTTACATGTGTATCAGTAATGTTAAAACAGGGATGTGTGCATGCAGGAAAAACATCAGGCAAATGCATGTAATGAAGCCAAAACGAGTTTGATTAGGCAAATGCATGTAATGAAGCCAAAACGTTTGGTTAAAAAATGAACTTCAGACAGCAGTTTTGAATGGAGAAATGCCAATGGCAATGAGGTGCTTAACCATTTCCCCACTTGAAATCAGACCCCTCAACTGGTTTTCCTTCTGTAAGGTTCCATTTGGGTAAACATTCCTCTTATGTATGTTCTTTGGGTGGAGCAAGAGTGCATTTTGAGCAGAAAAATAGTACAGCAATATTACTTGCTACTCCTCCAGTCCAAATCACAACTTCTGAAAGCTTCCTTTCAATACTGCCATCAAGGTTTCATCCCACATACTTCTGTGTAATGTATGGCTTGCTCCTGATTAAATATAAAGATAACTTTTTTTAAAAAACTGGGTTGCCAAGCTGAACCAAGCAAGCTGTGCGATCTAATTGGTGCAACAAGTTTTTTTAACATGCTTTTGAAAATCGGAGTTAATGGTTAAGAGAATGGATTTTACTTGAAGATCATAGGCTGCTGACTCTAGAAGGACATGACAAAACTGGGATGGCATGCGTTTTTATGGTATGGGAAAGCTTCTGGACAGAAATATTTTAAAAATCATATGATAAGATCATTATTGACAACCTGGGAAAAGATTTGTCCACTGGTATATACTAAAGTTCCAAGATGGGTATCTCCAGTGGAAGCTTTTTCTCAACCAATTTTGACTTCAAAACAAACAGTTATTAGATACACAGAATTATTAGATGATGGAAATAATTTAAAATCTCAGGAAGAATTAAAGAAAAGGGAAATAAACTTAGATTGGTGGACTAGAGTACAAGTGGAATCTAGATATATTAAGGACAAACAGACAGATGGATTTTATTTACAACAAGGTGCATTTGAAAAATTATTATGTACTTCAAGAGAGAAACTTATAAAGAAAATGTATGGTATGCTGATGCAGTTGAAAATTCAGGATGAAATAGTTAAAGAATGTATGGTCAAACGGATGCAAAATGTAGGTTACAACATAGATTTGTTACAATGGAGTAAAATATGGAATGTAAAAATTGACTAAAACTGTTTCATTTGAAGAAAATTTATATAAAATGTTTTATAGATAGCACCTAACCCTAGATAGGTTAGCCAAAATGTATAAATACTTGAGTAACAAATGCTGGAAATGTTGGATCATACTATCATCTGTGGTGGACATGTAAAAAGGTTCATAAATATTGGATTGCATACTCTCTTACAGTCAGTGTTGAATATTACAATACCTTTTAAACCATATTCCTGTTAAACTGTTTACCAGATGATTTAGATAACAACCATAGATACTTTATTTTACATGTTATAACAGCAGCTAGAATTTAATTTGCAACAACATGGAGGACATTGGAAGTCCCAACACTTTATGAGTTAATAATGAAGATTATGGATTGTGTCGAAATGGACAAATTGACAAATGTATTAAAAGGAGAAATGGAAGAAGAATTTTTGGGACCATGGAGGGCCTTTTATGACTGGTTAAGACACAAGTACTGAAAAACTAAGATTAAATGAAGAACAATAAGAATGATGGTTATAAGCTTTTATGAGAAGATTTGCATGCAGAATGTTAAATTAGATTTTTTTATAGATCTCTGTATCGTTTCCTTTCCCTTCTTTTCCCTTTCCCTCTTTCTATGTATAAACGGATAAAATTCTTTATTAAAAAAAAAGAAAATCAGAGTTAATGATCTGTGAGAATGTGTACATTTTTTGAGTGTTAGTAAATGAAGTGGCCACTTAAGTGAGGCTGAGATGGCATGCTTGAAAGGACTCTTGTGTATGCATGAATCTGATAGATCATACATTTGTTTCACAAAATGAAATTCTTGCTTAATAAAGCTGCTGTTCCCTTCACAGATGCAAAAAAAGGCAAATGAAATTTATATGACTTTCCTGTCAAGTAAAGCTTCTTTTCAAGTCAATGTTGAAGGGCAGTCCCGTTTGGATGAATCAATATTGGAACAACCTCACCCTCTGATGTTTCAGAAACTTCAAGACCAGGTAAAGTTTTTAGACTTCCTAATCTCTCCTTATATATAATTAAGTAGTGGGGTGGCACTTTCTGAACACTCCACACACTTCTAAAACAGTTGGTTCCATGATGTGTCACTCAGAAGCTGTCCCTATCCACTGGCTGCGTTGCCTGAGTCCTGCCCACAGAAGCGGCACCTGCCAAAACTTTACTCAGAAGACAGTTGCTTCATTCTGGTGAACACAGCTTCTACTCCTCTTCCCCTCCCACTCCACCTTCAGCCACTGTTCCCTGTCAGAATTACTGGCAAACAGCTGTGTCTCCCGACGAAGACACTTCCTGCTTGGCTCCTCTGTGGGACTAACTTTTCCATCAGTGGCTGTGGCTAGGCAACCAAGCTTGGTTCTGTCAGTAAAAAGACAAAGAAAGGAAACCCTTTCTAGGCCTTTGTGAGGAACTCATTGGGGCCCATCCTGACTAGGGTTGCCAGCTCCAGGTTGGGAAATTCCTGGATATTCTGTGTCTAAGGAAGCCAGGGTTTGGGGAGGGGAGAGGCCTCAGCTGAACAGACTGCCATGAGCCCGCCCTCTAAAGCAGTTATTTTCTCCAGGGGGGGGGGGAGAGAGATCTGTTGTCTGGAGTTCAGTTGTGATACCAGGTGATACCAGACGACAGAGATCAGTTCCCGTGGAGAAAATGGATGCTTTAGAGGGTAGACCCTATGGCATTATACCCTGCTGAGTCCTTCTGCCCCTCACCAATGCTGCCCTCCACAGGATCTGCCCCCCAAATCTCCAGGTATTTCCTTACTCAGAGCTGGCAACCCTACTTTCCTCTCAGTGCCTGTTGTGACATAGCATTCAAGGCTTCAGAGCACGGTAGAGGCTGCAGGTGTGGGGGTGGAGATGGAAAGCTGAAGAGTGAGTGGGAAATAAAGGTGGATTGATGATTGGCTGGGAAGGAGATAGGGTTGCCAAACTCCAAGTGGGAAATTCCTGGAGATTTGATGGAGCCTGGAGAGGGTGAGCTTTCAGGAGGGGTGGGACCTCAGACAGGTACAATGCCATAGACTCCACCCTCCAAGCCAGCCAGTCACTTGTGGGGAACCATTGTTGCCAATCTCCAGGTGAGGGCTGGAGATAACTCAAAATTACAACTGCTCTTCAGGTAGCAGAGATCAGTTCCTCTGGAGAAAATGTTGGACTCTATGTCAATTATACCCTGCTGAGGTCACCACAGCAAATTGACACTGAGTGCCCAAGGCTGGGGCACTCTCCCGGAGCCTCTTTCTAGCTCGTTGTATTTATTTCCACAACGGGCCTTATTCATAGTTATTCCATAAAGGGATACATTTATTGTATAGAATCACAGCAACACAGAATTAGAAGGAAGTCTATAATTCCTTCCCTTGTACATTGAGAAAGAGAATGCCATTGCTGTACCTGAAATGTGTACAACATGTTTATCCAGCCTATTCTTTAAATCTCCAGTAATGGAATGATGTTTCTTGGTTAGAGAATTGGAATGCAGAACACTAGTGAAGGGCATTAAGTAAGTAAGGGGGAGAAATGGCATGGTGGCAGCAGGGTCGGCCCGAGGTTGTCCTGCGCCGAAGAAGGGGGTGGGGGGTGGCAAGGCTAGCGACCCCTCGGCTCATCCTCCCACCAGAAGCAGGCACCGCTCGCACAGGCGACGGACGGGGACAGACGGGCTTCCCTTTCTGAGTCCGCTGCAGAGGTGAGCGTAGCTGGACTCGGCTGAAGTGGGGGAGGGAGGGAAAGAAGAAGACAGAGACACGCGTGAGGGAGGCAACACGGACGGACGGACAACGACGAACAAGGGCAGTCCTCCCCGCCGCGGCGGCCTCCCTTTCTCGTGTGTTGCTTCAGCTGCCGCCGCCGTGCTGCTTCAGCCGACGGCTCGGCGTGCTGCAGGCGTCATAGTGGGGGGGGCATTTCTGCAGAGCCAGACAGC